GCTGAACCTCTACTTTACTAAGAAGCATGATGTCCTTCTCCACGGACTGATGCCTCCTGAGAAGGGACCAAAGTCTCACCATGCTCACAACTAAGAAGCACTGCAGCCACACTTGTTCCAAGACCTTCATTCATCCTTCAGGCTGCCCGTGGCAGAGCCACTACTCTCTGCCAATACCACAATTACAATGTGCGCATTCTCCTGGGGCCTTCCTTATTCATTGTCCAGTTTTCAAATACATATGAGGCAACTGAAAATAGTACAGCTTTGGGCCAGGGGCACCTTAGTCATGAAAGTGACATCTTTGCTTCTTAAGACTTTGAAGACATCTTCTGTACATTTGCCCAAAGCAATACGTCACTTGATTTCCTGACTCCTGCTTACATGGGTGTTGTTTGTGGATGCAAGGAAAATGTAATCTTTGACAACTTCTGTCTATTCTCCATTTATCATAATGCTGCTTATTGGTCCAGTTCTGAGGATTTTCATTTTCTGGATGCTGAGGTATAATCCCACTGCAGACTGCAGTCTTTAACTTCATCAGTCAGTGCTTCAAGTCGTCCTCACTTTGAGCAAGGAAGGCTGCGTCATCCGCTTATCACAGGCTGGTAATGAGCCCTTCTCCAACCCTGATGCCACGCTCTGCCTCAGACGGGCCAGCTTCTCGGATTATTTGTTCAGCATATGTGAATGAGTATGGTGAAAGGATATACCCGACACCCACCATTCCTGGTTTTAACCACCCAGTATCCCCCTATTCCGTTCAAACACTGCTTGATGAGATGGCCAAAACACACTTGGAATCTTGGAGACAAATTTAAGAAATTTCCTAAATAGTGAACTTAAAACTACTTTTAATGACATATGCTAATAGTTGTTGTTGTTAAGTGCCATCAAGTTGGACCCGACTCACAGCAACCCCTCCTTGGGTTTCCAAGGCAGTACCACTACAGAAGTAGATTGCCCCATCTTCCTTTCGAGGAGTGTCTGGTGGGTTTGAACCACCAACCTTCTGATTAGCAGTCAAGTGCCTTAGGCACTATGCTACCAGAGCTCCCCATATATGCCATACTCACCTTAAAAATTACTACAGCAATTTACCATTCTAATATTGATCATACTTTTTGGGGCAAACAATGAGAAGGAAACAGGAAGAGAAACACACACGGAAAACACTTGGTTCCCCTCTGGGACCACGTACTGTAACTCCACATAAGTGCCGCAAAGACCCAGTCCACACGGTGTCCGCTACCACACAACAGTGAAATGTGGTGACACCAACTCAAGGGTTATGTGTAACCACATCACTGAATCACTACTGTCCTACTGGATGGCACAACCACAGCGTAAGCACCCAAATGCGGGATGGTTTATCGGCGCTGCCAACAACAGCAATCTCCTGTCTTAACCCTCCTTTGGTGGTCACTGTAATTATTCTACCAAAGAGCAGTGCCTCTGAGACCACACACCGGAACTCCCGATGCATTCCCTGCTGCTGTTCCAGGCAGGTGCCACCGAGCACATTCTGGCTCATGATGCCTCCGTGTGACAGAGCAGAACTGTCCCACAGGGCTTCCTGGGCTGGAACGGTTAGGAAAGCAGCCCTGGTGGCACAATGCTCAAATGCTCGGCTGCTAACCAAAAGGCTGGGGGTTCAAACCCTTCAGTAGCTCCAGAGAAAAGACCTAGCAATATGCTCCCATAAAGATTACAGCCTATTCAAATCACAAAAACAAATAAATAGAGGGACCAGATCTGCTGGTCTGATAGAGCCTATGGCCCCCAACTGCCCTTCAGGCTTCAGGTCTGGAATTGAACCCACTCCTGTGGCTTCCAGCCAAGCATAGGAGCTGAACATTCACATCAGGTAGATACACTCCTTGGAGAGATCAATCATGGGAGAATAGAAGGGCTATGTATGCACAGAGAAACTCAAGGGGCAGGAGTGCATGGGGGGGGCAAGGACACAGGGAAGAGGTGGCTATGAGGAGGAAGTGGGACGGGAGGTGTCGCATTGTGGGAAACTGTGGTCAATGTCATGAGACAAAGTGTATGTGAGCTGCTGTATGGAAAGTGAATTGGCTCTGTAAACTTTCATCCAAATCACAATTAAAAATTAAAGTGAAAAAAGATTACAGCTGAGAAAACCTCGAACAGCTCCGCTCTGTCCCACAGGGTCGCTACAGGGTAGGACTGACTCGACTGCACACCCCCCCACCACAATCTTTAAGGAATATACCAGTATACTTGTAGAAATATTGTCTGCCAACCCTGTACACGGTCTTGGGCACACTCCCCACTGCACAGACATACCTAATCGTTCAGCTTGCACCCATCTACCCACTCATACATCCATGCTTGCCTTCACTGACAACACAGTACTGCATGTGCAAAGGGGTTCATCTTTGTTGTCTGTACCTCCCATGTACCTCTCTCTGTCTTCCTCTTCCTCAATGCCACTGTACCACCAACAATCTTCATGGAAGCCGATCACCAGAGCTTTTCTCTTGCAAAGCTGTGAGGGGGGCTTGAACTAGCAGCCCACTGGTTAGCAGCCAAACGCTTCACCACTGCACCACCTGGGCTCTTTGGGCCACCCTCCCCCCACCGAATGAGTTCTTTGGCTTTTTCCTCATTTTCATTCCTGACAGATACTCTGTTCCCCTCTCACAGTAAGGAGTAGCCCAACAGAACCATTACGTCCTGAGTCCCTCGTCCCTGATGGAGCAGAGCAGCCCAGCCGTCACTTCACCGCCCCCTGACAGTTCAGGGGACAAGTCAGAAATCTGAACTTAGTACAGCACTTCTCCAAACTGCAAGGAACATTTAAACAGCTTCAGGTTCCATAAGGTGCACACAGGTGAGTCTAAGCTGGAACTTTAACGTGGAAGAGATCCTGTGACCCAGGAATGTGGGAGCACTGCTACAGACACATGCTCCTAGCATGTCAGGAAAACTCTGGCACAATGATGCCACTTTCCTATAAGCGTCCTGCTCATAGGCCACCCCACATGCAGCCTGCTCAGCATGTTTCTACCTTGTTCCCAGCCCCAAGCCCAGCTCCAGGGGTATGTCCTGGCCAGGCTGCCCTCCCGCATGCAGCAGCCACACCACGCCCAGCTGTGTTGTCGAGAAACAGCTTCTCAGACATCAGGAACAAAACATGATACTAGCCACCTCAAATTGTGCTGTGCCATGTCACAGTCATATGTGGCCATAACACTGCCATGTGCAGCAGTGAGAAACACGCCCAGATCCCAGAGACTCAGCACAGAGCAAACCATGCAAAACTGCTCATCGCTAACTCAATACTGAGTCCATGGTGAACCCAAAGCATGCTGGACATAACCCAAACCAAACCCACTGAGTCAATTTCAACTCCCA